TTCAGTCTTTAATTATTTCAATAAATTGATTAAAAAAACAATTTATAAACATTAATTAAATAGTAATAATTAACTATTTAATTTTAAAATTATTAATGAGTTTAATAGTCATTTTATTTATTTATTTACTCTTGTTCCTCTCTGCTGACGGTCTTCCATAGGGCTCCGGCACTTCTAATCTTAGAAATTAAGCCATGTGTCTTCGTCAAGCTTCAAACTGTAAAGCTTTCGCAAAAGAAATAATTTACTTAATAGACCTTTCATGTACCTTTCTGAGTTTTTCCCAAGTGGCTTTATCAGTAGTTTCATGTTTAATGTGAATTATTTGGCTGTCTAATTTATCATCGCGTGACATTGCCGATCCAGTTTACTCCATTGTTCTGTAATAGGGCTTGGAGGAACATCTTCGATTACATCGTAAAGGACCTCCTTTATTAGTAGCATTTGCATTTTGAGTTTCCATGTTGAGTAATTGCTGGAATTCAGTTTTGCAATTTGCATTTGACTTGAATTCAACATTTCTGTGTCGTCGAAAAACTTTATTTTCAGTTTTGATATGAAACTACAGTTTAGCCTTTACAGTTTTTTTTTTATTCTTTATTATTATTTAATTAGCTATGATTTTTCTTTCAGTCTCATAATCTTTCGTTGTAAAACATATTTATAGCCTCGAAATTTCACAACAAATTAATAAAAATAGAGAGCAAAATGTTTCCTCTTACCTCGTATCCAGCGCAGTTTCAAGCGAGATGATAGCTAATTAACTTGTAATTCAAAAATGATTGTAGACGGAAATTGAAACTGATCACAACACATTTTTTATGGATATGTGAAAAATAGATTAAGATTTGTTAGTATATCACAAATATATATCGAAAAGGGAGTTATATAATAGAGTATCATATCACTGTCCTTTCCTGAAGGAGTGAGAAAAGTAAATGTAAAGAATTAGCCAGTTACACAATTAACTCCTTTGCAGGGTTTCCAGTTCATAATGTTTATCGCGCTATTGGTGAGAGTCCATCACTTTATGCATACCAACAGTGATCTCTTGTTTTGTCGCTCTCCGGATGCACCTTCATCGCCTGAGGAATACATCCAAGATCTCCCGGACCAGTTTGAAGTGATACACAATTTTGCATGAGAGCTAGTCAACTCAGGGACGGAGAAGATGAAGACCCGATACGACACCAGAGCTACTGGACATAGATTCAATGATGGAGACAAGGTGTGGTTGTGGAATCCGACTCGACGGAAAGGACTCTGGCCGAAACTAGTCTCCTTGGGATGGTCCATTGCTGTTCTAAACAGGCTGACTGATGTTGTGGTTCGAATCCGCACGTCATCGAATTCTAAACCTAAAGTCGTTTATTACGACAGGTTAGCTCCTTACTATGGCCATAGTACGTAGTGTATATAATTGTAAATAAAATAAGACCATGGTCCTTTTTGTTTCTAAATTTGTATTTAGGATTTGATTTAAGTTAGATATTGTAATTGTTTATGTTGTTTGTTATTCTAATGTAATGTTTTATTAATGCATTGATGCCTTAGTTGTAAGTTTGACTTCCTATCCAGGAATTGTGGACGTGCAGTCCTTGGGAAGAGGGCAGTGTTATGGATTTTGTATATACTTTGCTATTTTTAGTACAACTATTATAAACACGTTGAGCACCATGCGTATTTCTTAGGCAATCCCGTTCAAGCCACGTGCGCCGCTTAAAAGCGCTGGTATTGTAGGGTCAGAAGTAATGGCCAGGAAAAAGAGAGTTGTCACATTTTGTAATAGCAGTAATGGAGAAACCGTTTTTATATCTACCGTGTTTCAATGAAATCCATTAGTTCTGTAATGAATCAAAATTAAGTAAATTTTAAATAAATTTTCTGTAATTCCATAAAACAGTGTAAATTTTATAGTTCTATATAATGATACACGCTGTCAGCCAGCGGTGGTCGACGCGGCCTAAATGGAAAGTCTAGTGTCGCCCACAGATGGCTGACCCGGCCTAAACGGAAAGTCTTGTGTCAGCCACAGATGGCTGACGTGGCCTAAACGGAAAGTCTAGTGTCAGCCACAGATGGCTGACGTGGCACTCAATGTGTTAAAATAGCTTTATATCCCCGTACAATGCAGCACAAGACTTATTTTACGAGAAATTTCCGCCGGAAATGTAAAAATACAGGAGCACGCTCATTTAATATTTAATAAATAGATATCTCGTAATGTACACTTTTGCTTTCCAGAAATGTCGAGAAAATACTAGAATGTTATTGTGCATTTAATCATGCAAAATCAGAGAAAAACATCTCAGTTCAGTTGTTTTTGTTATTGATTGTGACGAATTTGCGGTGAGATCGGATTAGCTTTCTCTGGGTTGAATTGTGTTCTATTAAACGTTTTAGTAATTTAAAACATAACTACTGTGAGATATTGTACGAATATCTCTGCGGAAATTTCAGCATTTTGTTTTATTTCTTGCGATAAGAATAAATTTTATTAACTTTTCATCAGACTTGTGCATTCAATTTATTATGAACCCGTACGCATGCAAAAATACTTTTAAATCTACATACAATGAATTCTTTATAAAACGATCACCCATAGTTCCAGACAATTTTGTTTCTAATAATTGGTAATCGAAGCTGACGGGATGGTGATTACCAGTTTGGAGGATAATGGATTTATTCTGATCAAGGCTTTTGGAGTACATTAAAAATGCAGTAGATGCCACTTAATGCCATCAGGTTTGCCCACTGCTATTTTGATAAGATTAACCGATTGATAACGGTAAACGATGAGAAAAATATCCCTCAAAATAGCAATGCAATGTAACTAATTTAATGAGCTAAAAAAACATTTAATTTACACCTATTTTTCAAAATTACTGTATGTAAATCTTACCTTAAAATATGGAGAGGAGGTTTTTTATGCAAAACAAAAGCAAAGTTAAATACAATTTTGCTTGCAAGTTTTGTTTGAAATTTTAAAACACTCACTCGCTGATACTGATCCATTAAATTTGTCTTATATATTTTCAAAGCGACCACTAAAAATAACTTCAGTAATTTTTTTATCACGCTGTAACTTAATTTCTCCCTCCTTACGGTATGCCTTCGTGGTGTGACTGGAAAGTACGTCCGGCTAGCAGTCAGAAAGTCGGGAGTTCTAGTCCCGGTGAGGACATTCCTGATTTTTCATACCTTCTGCTCAAATAATATCTATGTTTCTAATTTAAATTTTATTTTGTTTGCAAATATTAAAGTTATCACTTAAGATAACCATATTTTATAAAAAAAACAGCATGCACTTATAAATTATACTCGCACATTTGAATTTTAAGATTTATATTTACTTCCTATATTTTCTTACTTCTGTGATCCTTTGAAAAATGTTCAAATACTGATGCAATGTAAAGATAAGTCTGTCTCCTTTTCCTTGACAAAATTAAGCTATAATTAGTCAGACAATACTCGCAGGTTTTTCTCACAATTAAGCAAAATTTAAACTGATTTCATTTGTTCTATATAGAGAAATCTATACAGTGCAAAGTCTGAATGTCCAATAACTGGAATGATCTAAGATCTGAACCTCCACACCACCAGCCAAAAAATTAAATAATACAACCCCTCACCTGCACTGCAAAGTCTGGAAGTGGAAACTAACAAAAGGAGGTACGTGTGCAGTAAATGGGATTTTTCTCTGGACTAACTGAGAATACTGCATGCCACTTTTAAGCACTGCTGACTAGGGAGTCTCACTGTGATAATAATAATGCACTGACTGAAGTTATATTGATGTCGGCTAGGACCACAATTTCAGTCCTTGGGCAGTTGTGGGATGTGTGCAGGGCTAACTCTAAACATTTAAGCACCTGTAGCAATATCTGTGGGTCCTAAATTCTGGCACCCAGTGCCTCCCCTAAACAGGCTGACTGATGTTGTGGTTCGAATCCGCACGTCATCGAATTCTAAACCTAAAGTCGTTTATTACGACAGGTTAGCTCCTTACTATGGCCATAGTACGTAGTGTATATAATTGTAAATAAAATAAGACCATGGTCCTTTTTTAAAAATTCCGCCACCCCTAATTTTTGCTGATTGCCAGTCTTTTAAATTCTAATTTTTTTTTGCCACACCTATATTCTGGCACATGGTACAGGCAGACTGGTTGCACCTGCTATGGCACAGGTCCTGTAGAGACGACTTAGGGAATTAGCATTTTCATATCTATAATAAATAACGCCCCAATGTCATTCTACTAGATTTAAACTGATAATCTAAAATCCAGAATCACCAAAGTCACAATGATTTCGGATCTCAAACCTTGTACAGTATGTCTTACAAAGATTTCTCCTAAGAAAGCACAATTTTCCTTTTGCTAACAAATAAAAGCATTATGCTGATTTTCTCAGTAAGATGAAAATAAAGACAAAGGATACCTTATGCCCTATTTACTTTGTATAACTACCTGATATTATATATTAACCCTCTCAGCGTTACGGCCGGAAAATTCTGTACAGAAAGTTGCCTTCCACTTTCATTACACATGAAAATTGCTAGCTTTTAATGTATCTGATTTCAGTTTGGATGTATATTGGAAGAAAAGGAATCAAGGTACAAAATGAAAGAGTCATTTTTTAATTAAAATCCAGGAAATATCACTTATTCATGACATTTTGAGAAACTTTGAAATTTCAGGGCTAAACCCGTAACGCTCAGAGGGTTAAATGTTTACAATATCAAACATTTTCGTTTAATTTCTAACTCTTCATATCTTAATTGGTATGTTATATATATATTTCCTTGTAGCTCTTTAAATTTTTATTGACTAGTAGCAGATATTACTAGAGGCATTTCACATAATAATTGTAAAATTATATACCTCTAAGTATATTATTATTTTAATAGATTACTACATGTTATTTAAGCAATTTTTTAAAATGCAAAAAAAGTTTGGTTAAGGCATTAAATTTTCCCACTTCAGTTTAAGATACTTAACCTATCTATAAAAATTTATTTAACATATATGGATTAAGATAAATTCTTTCTAAAACTCTGGCACAGCAAATTAGATATTATCAAGGAGAGCAGCATTTTTCATAAGCAGCAAAATGCAGTTTGGGAAAGGTAATGCCACATAAGCTCAAATATAATTAAAAATAGAGTCTTAGACACTGTATGTATAAAAAAAAAAAATTATTTTAACATTTGAAAAAATGTATTATACATACATAAATGTTGAAACAACATGACAGTTAATTTATGGTTGCTAAATAGTCTTTAACTTCAGCAGGTAGAAGGCGCTTAAAACCATTTTCATTACAGATGCCAATTTCAATGTTATCAGCAGTCATTTGCCCTTCAAAACCTTCTTTCAAAGTTAATATGGCAGTATGAATAGCATCTTCTAATTCTAATTCTTCACTGTACCTAAATGTTCAAAATATTGTTCAAATGCATTGAATTTATAACACAAAAAATATAACTGAGAGGGGGGGGGGGAAATAGGTATCTAAAAATTAAAAAAAAAAAATAAATTTTATACGATTCAAAAAATTTAAAAGTAATTGAAAAGTCTTAAATGTTTTTATATATATATATATATATATATATATATATATATATACATACAAAAACATGTCTACTACTACTAAAGCTTTCTTTGCATAAACAAAAAACAAAACATCGGTATTTTCTAACTATTTGCACACCCACCGAAATGCTGCAAACTTGTTGTTGACTTTAATGAGAAACTTTTGTTTATGTACCTTCATGTCTTTTTAAACAATGCATCCAGTGTCACCTTTTGCACTATTTGTCTTCCTAAGTACACATTGCTCTGTATTTGCTACCTCCTCAAAAAAGTTGTACAAAGTCAACCCTGCACATAACCTTGTCACTGTACACTACCTAAGATCACGATTGCATAGAAGAAATCAAAACTTCAATGCACACTCCCAACATAATGAAAGTAAAAGAAGGCAAACTCCAGTTTCAACATGAGTCCAGAAAATCAGAAATTACCAAGATACGAGGGCCATCCAGGAAGTAGATTACGTTTCCGTCTGTGTCCGCTAGGGGCGGGGCTAGCGCGGCCATCTTGGGGTCAGAGCGTTGCGCAGCTCAGTCTGCATCTAGCCGTGCTAGTGAGAGGTTCGTGCTGTGCTCCGTTCAGATACTGTGACGGTTTGAAATGTCTGCGTTAATTGAAAATCCCGCGAGCTGCGCTCAGTAATAAGGTTTCTGACTGCAAAAAACTGTAAACCGATAGAAATCTATCGGCAGCTTCGTGAAGTGTATGGGGACAACATTATCACTGAAGGTGGAGTGCGTCAGTGGGTCATAAGATTTCAAAATGGCCGAACCAATGTTCACGACGAAGATCGAAGTGGGAGACCCAGCATGGTGACCGCCAAACTTCTCGAAAAAGTCGATGCTAAAGTCCGTGAAAATCGAAATTTCACAATAACGGAACTTTCTTTGAGTTTTCCACAAATTTCGCGAAGTTTGTTGCACGAAATCATCAGCGAAAAGCAAGAAGAGGTAACGAAGTGTTTGAAGGCGCAGGCGGCCGAATTTTTCGACGAAGGAATTTCCAAGCTCGTACATCGCTACGATAAATGCTTTAATTTGTATGGTGACTATGTAGAAAAGTAGTATTTGAGTGTGGCTTTCATCTGTATACAATAAAATTTGTTTCCTATACTTTGTTTATTTTTTTATTCCAAAACGTAATCTACTTTCTGGATAGCCCTCGTATTTTAAAATCAAGTCATTAAATTTTCAAATCATTGAATTTTTCAATGTAACTTTTATCAGGCAGAGTTCCAATAATCTGCACACCCCACGACCAACACCTTTAAGGATCAGAGAATTCTGCACATTATATGTCGTGTCTTTTTGAATTTTTTTACAAGGTCTAATGTTTACATTAAATTTGGATTGTGTGCACTTAAACAAAACATACTAATATCTTAACTACAAAATTATTATAGTTTTAAATGTCAATTATGTACACAGAAAACAATGTCAATATCAAAGAAAACACACTAAAGAAAAGAAGGGATAAATGAATGAGAAATTTGTTTCGGTAGTTGTATAAAACTCCTTTGTAAAATTTGTGGATAAATAAATTATTCACATATATTAGCCACATAAATTTACAATTTTCTTTTAAAAAAATTAAAAGAAAATTGAATATACATACAAAAACAATGATTTATCTAAAATGAAAGCCGAGATTCAGGATTTACGTTTACCATAAAAAGAGAGTGTCAGTGCATGGAATAAAAATGCTAAAATAAATTCAGTTCATCAAACCAAATATTTTATAATTATACTGCATTTTTGTTAGAAAGTCGTTTTGCATAATTATGTGCTAAATAATTATCATTAAATTTCTCGTACAAAATTTCCTAACAATCAAAATTGCATATAAATAAAGTTTAATATTAATATTAAGGATTTTATATGGGTATGGACCTTTTATAATTTTTATTTCTCAAGTCCTTAGTATTAACATTCTCAGAGTTCAGGAATTTAGGATGTAAAAACTAATTGGTGATACAGCTGTTTTCAGAAAAATTCTTTTTACAGTGTTATTAAATAGAAGTCTACCTTAGTTGTACCGAGTGAGGAAGAAAACAGTTGTTCTATTACCTTGCAGAGCAGTTAAAATAGGGAATCTGATTCTTTTCTATTTCCTAAAAAGGGAGGTAAGCTTAAGGTTCCTGCAAGTGCAGTGCAGGGATAGTCATAAAAATTCTTCGTTTTGCTAACAAGAGGTTTGAAATCTTTTCCCATGGAGTTAGTTACATAGGATTCTTTGCAATATGTTACTTTATTCATTTTGGTTAAAAGGAACACCTAATACTCAGCAAATGGTTAAAGATTAATTTCTAAATGAACCAATGATGAAATTCGAAAGGGTATTGGAGAGAGTCAGTTTTGTGTTGAGAAATGTTTGAGTTTTTGCCGTGAAAAGCATACAAGAAAGAAAAGGGAAGTGGGACTTTTTTGCTTATCAGTGAGTTCTGGTCCCCACTCCAGGCAGAAGACACTACTCATGGTGGAGTTTTTGATTTACTTCTAAGGTATGTTTTAACAAGCAAAAGAAGTGAGAAGCCATTTGCAAGCCAGGGCACTGCAATACTCCCAAATGGTGCTTGTTTGGAAAATAAATCTAATTCATGATCTTTTCAGATAAATTTTGTTCAGAGACTGAAATTTTTATACTCTCATAATCCTTAAAAAGAGGGTCTTACTTGAGTGCTGAAGTAATTTGAGGCACATTTGTGACAATATGAACTCCTCAAACTCCTACAATACAAAAGTGTGACTATTTCAAGGCTGTTTAATGAAAAGTAGACATGAACTTATGGTAATTAGATTTATGCCTTGCAATGATTAAGAATTCAGATATATGCTGACTTTTAAGATCATATTTACGGGAAAATAATAATGCACTTCTGGATTTCAGCGAAGCTAAGCAAGGATGAATCGTAATCTTGCTACTATTAGATTATTAATTGACTGCCATTATCAATGCTTAAAAGTTTTTTCTTCCTTTTTTTTTATGAATGATTAACAGAATCTGTATTTACTTAATAGAAAGGTTTTTAAGTTAACTATTGAGTGAAAATGGTATTTTTAATGGTTAGCAGAATATTGATATTTAAAGTTTGGTAGTTACAAATCAATTATGCTTTGGATAGTAAATTAAATTACTGACTGATGGAAATTTCAATACCACATGAGTAGAAAAATATCTTGATTCTTAACAATTGTAAGAATACTGATTACAAAGGTAGATTGTGTTTGAACTATCTTTTTTGATAACTATTTAGATAAATAAATAAATAAAAATTATACCAATGTTCAGAAGATGAATACATTTTACATACCTACGATACTGTAATACGTATGTAGGAATTTGAAATGATTTGAAAATAATTTACAGAATAAGTTTTTGTAAGGGGCCTTACAAATCTTATAACTTGATTAAATTACATTATTTAATAAATATGTTTTTCTTAAATGCTTAACCCTGTGTTTGTTCTGTGTGATTTCCTCGTTATGACATGGTTAATCCCTTTCGAAATGCATGGATACTTTGAAAACAGATCTGGCAATTTATTACACTCATACAAATTACTGCATACTTTATATTTATGCTTAGAAATATGGCTTCTAGGCATGTGTATTTCATACTTGACATTTAGAAGTTTCTGTCTGATTGCTTATGAGTTAGAATTTGAATTTTGTGCCTGAGACCTGGTATTGATATTTTTTTGTTGTCTGATAATTAGATAGCAAATGATTTAACAAGATATAGAAATATTACATTTAAAAATGAACTGAAATGAATTGAAATTTCATTATTGTACACATATTTATTTGATACCAAGGTACTGGGAAATAACAAGACTTGCTAAGATTAACTTTAAGAATACTTTGCAAATATAAGAAAGATTAATTAATTCAGTAAAAAATGTCTTATTTAATTCTTTTGCTCGATTTGACAATGGAAATTTTACCCTGCGCAAGGGAGGACTTCAAAATTTTCAGATGAACTGCTATAATTAAATACTTTAGAATGATTCACCAGCTACTTTGGATACAGAAACACAGTTGTTTTCAAGTGGAAGGGGGATTATAATTGAGTTGATGTATCCTCCTCTAGATAACATTATATCAGATTTGATTGAGTTCACCTTCTTTTATATTTTTTCTGGTTTGGGTATATATTTTCAGGTTTTTATAATTTTTAGGTTTCAGTTTCACATTTCTTTAATTCTTATTTTACATATTTAAAGGATATTTTGAAATTTATTGGTATTGAATTTCACTTCTTTTAAGTCTTTATGTAAAATTAGTTCTAAATTTCTTACTTTTTGTCTATCTAATAAATTTTCAGCAGCATATTGTTTGGAAATACTTGGAATAATTATGATTTTAAATAAAAAAAAAATGTTTATATGTGTGTGTAAAATATAAAACATGAAGGACACTTAATAGCAATAGACCTTTAAGTTTCTAATTTGAATTAAAAGACAACCCTCTTTGTTTCTGCACCGACACCACTTTCCATAGAGTCACTGCTGCGAGCTTTTATCCAATAATCATTTAGAACTCATACAAAGAATTTCCAAGCATAAATAATTCACCTGCCTTGTGCGCACGGCTTTCTTGCTGCTTGCACTATCCTGATAAAGCATGTTTTTTTTTTGTTAAGCTATATTTCTCAATTGCTTAAAAAATATAATTGCATGGTTTAAAATTGTGAGGTGCATATTGTCTCCATTGTGCTGTGTCATGTAATGAGACATACTATGTAATAAGATATGTAAATAAGAATACACAGGTAATGGAGAAAGGTTCAGAACATTGTGATTTTGTGATTCTTCAAAAGTTATATGTCGTTAGATGCCACAGAGTCTAGTTATTTGATATCACATCTAGCACCCCAATTATGATGCTTATGAATGGTTCTATTGAATATGCTCATTGTATCAATTCATTATAACATATATATTATACATCATCTCCCTCCTGTCATTGAGAGTTAAGTATAAAATCGTCTCATTAGGGTAGTTCTCATTCAATGGAAAAATAAACAGCAGAGAAACTTGATCACTACCAAGGAATTCTAAATCCAGGTACAACAGGATTATCAGTATTTAATTTGCTGTATTAGTAATTTTTAAACACTTTTGAATGATTAATTAGTTTCAACTGAACGTGGCTGGCCAATCTGTTGATCAAAAATTGTTTTCTATTACATTACTTTACATTCTATTACAATTTCCCTATTTTCTGTACGTCACAAGAGTTCTATACAAAGAATAGAGCTCAAGTTCCTGAAAGGACTAGCCAGTCTAATTAAAAACAACAGTAAGTAGTAATTGTTTGGGTATGCAATTGCATCTACACTCAGCTTAAAATTCACAACACATACACACTCAGCTAAAAATTCACAACTGTGGTAACTGACCTTTTCTCTAAGAAAGCTTTTCCATTTACATGGTTCTTCCCCATAGCAGTAGCTTTCCAAGCAAAGTATGCACCCTAAATCAGAATAAATAAAATTAATTCGATTAAAAGAGAAAATAAAATACATGCAATCAAAAGGGGGAGAACTAAAGTTAACTTACAGATGGATCACACTGGAAAAGATAGGGCCTACTGCTATCCCAACCAGCAATGAGAAGAGACACTCCAAAAGGACGTACACCTCTAGAGATGTTTCAATATGAAAAAAGCAGAATTAGTAGTCCAGAAGTAATAATAATAATAACAATAATGCAGAAGAAAATTACAGATAATCTAAAAACATATTACCAAATATTCATTTATAATGATATGGCAGAAAAACTTGAAATTTAAATCAGTAAAAATATAAGGAGATTTATTACATAATGGGACTTATATGCATTATACGTACAGTGTCCCAGTATTATTCAACACATTTCAAAATTATATTACCCCCTAAAAAAATAACACTTGCAGAGACAGTTATAAAAGGTTTTTATTCATTGACAAAATGTAATAAAATAATGATGTGAAATACCCTTGCTGGTCTTATGTGCATGGCTGTGAAGTCGGAGTTAGGCAGATTTTGGGGTAAAAGGAGTCGGAGCTGGAGTCGCTAAAAACATGTAGACTTTGACTCCAGTTTTTGTTGAACAGTTTGAAATGAAATTAAAGTGAGTTGAAAAAATTTAATGACAAACTGAGTTATTATTTTTATTTATGGAATACATACATTAATAAATAGTTATTTTCTATTTTACTGACATATTAATAAATAAATATAAGGGAGGAGGATGGATGTGATGATGTGTGCCATTAGTGATTAAACCGACTCATTTAGTTACAAATCTCACTGGTAAATTTACGTAAGCAACAACTCCCAAAATTGATGCCATTCTTAGGAAGGGAGCAGGAAAAGGAGCAATTAATGATCAAGCAATGTGATAAAGAAGTAGATACTTGATGATAAAGAGGTTGTTAGAATTAAGAACGTTTTAGAAGATGTAGATAACCCTAATGTTTCACTAATAGAAAGACTGTGGAATGATCTTGCAGAATTGGAAATTCTTCTTTCTACAACATATATAGCCACAAAAAAGCTAAAATCTGAAGAATTAACAGGAGGCAAGAATGGAAAAACATTTGTTCTTTCTGAAATGCAGGGTTTATTGCAGAAGGAATAATTTCTTCAATGAAGAAAAGAGAAACTAGTTTGCTAGACAATGAGATCTTGCTCGGTTCAATATATGTAGAGCCAAAATACCAATTTTGTTGGATGACGAACGAATTAAAAAGGCAAAGAAAGTCATCTATGAACTTTCATTAAAAATGAAATTATTCTCAGAACAACTGGAGAATTCAAACCAGGACAGTCAAACTGCAGGCATTGCAACCAAGTCTCTACAGACTTCTTCCAGTGATGAATTAGATTCTGAGAAAAATTTGGATAATATTGAAAAGGCTAAGGTAAAGCGAATAAAAATAAAGAACCAAGAGCCTTTAGAAATAAAAATGGAAAAATACAAACAAGATTTCTACATGGCCCTTGAAGAAATAGAGAAATATGATTGCTTTTGCAAGACACCTCATTTAGAACTTATAAAAATCTATCCTGAAAAGTTAAAAGAAGTAGCCCTAACAGTAACAGCTCTTCCTCCTACTCAAGTCAGCATGAAAAGTTCTCAGCTCTGAAGTTTATCAAATCGGATCTATGGTCCTCTAACAAAGATCTTGTCGTAGCTATACTGTTTCTTAGAAGTTACTAATATTTTTCCATTTCATAATAAATACTAATTAATATAAATAATTTTCTATGCCATCAATTATTTTTTTCTGTAGCATCTACTACTTCTTTTATATTAAAAAATAAGCTGTAACCCATGTGTATATGTTTACGTATATATGAGGTTGTCAGAGTCAGAGGCTTTAAAATTCCAGGAGTCAGTCGGTCATTTTCCCTACCGACTCAACAGCCCTGCTTATGCGTTCATGCAATACTTGGTTTAATGCAAGCATTACAGAATGAACAGTAGCTGTGAAAGCTGCTTCAAGTCTTTTGTGCTTTTTGAATTTTATAGGCATAAAGTTTTGATTTCTTGCACAAGATATTAATTGTTGCCTTTGGAATATACAGTTGCCTGCTTACATTATGAGTAGATTTACTTGGTTTCAATACAAACTATCATGCATACGATGAACCGTCTCATTATTTATGCTAGGCTATTGATTCTTTCAAAATGTAACATGTTGCTAGTTTAAACTGTTTCATCTACCACTTAACTGAATTCTTTGATAGAAGATTAAAAGAGCTACAGTCTACATAGAACCATTTTTTAACTTTATGATACATATTTTACAGGGTTCATACGCATTTCTGCACATGAAAATTAAGTACTTTTAAGGACCATTAAAGGAAAAAATTAAGGACCTATGAGCAAATGCAAACTGAATAAATTCAATTAAAATTATCTATGCCTGAACTTCAGATTTGTAATACCATCCTAAAAATAAAATAGATCCATAAGTAGGTTACATTATTATTAAACATATATTAACATAATTATTAATAAGTTTGAGAATAAAATAAACTTTACGAAATTCATCAAGTAGCATTAAATATTTTACACTCATAATAGCTGGAAATATTTGAAAGAAGATAAGTGACATTTTATTTACGCTTTACAAACAGTTAGCTTTATGTTGATTTTTTTAAATGTCTCATTTTGTCACATACTTGCTCTTTAGAGGTTTAGTAAATAGCAGCTAGATTTTATGTCAAGCAGCATAGGCTGAAATGAGAAGTAAGATCATAATCAACATGATTCATAACAAAAGACTGGATGTTGTCACCGCTACTGTTTGCCTGCAGAGAGACCTGCTGATTGGAACAAACTTGAAAGACCTGATGCAGGCACGGTTGGCAAGTTTTGAAAGTTAGTTGGGTTCTGTCCGACGCAGTTAGTGTTGTAGTTTTGTGTAGAGTTCCAGGGGTTGTAACCTAGTTAATATACTTTAAGGCTCCAACAAGCCATAAAGTTTTACATGAATTTTTACACTTTTGTGTTTTATCTTGTGGCCACAGTAAGGATTAATGAAATTCAATAACTTGCTTTAATATGCAAAGATAATTTTTAAGGGTAAGTTGTTAGTTATAAATAATTAAATTAGGTAGTTTGATAACTTTAGTCATTATGGATTTACATGGCCACTATTAAATTTTATTTATTTTTTAACAATATTTGTTAAAAAAGACATTAAAATCACAATCTAATACAATTTCACAGTTAAAAATATATGTAATTTATGACATTGATTCTTAAACGATATTAGGATAATTACACATTAAAAGAACACTCGACAAAATATTTATGTGTCTTTAATTTGTAGCCTTCCCAGACATTTTAGCTAATTTATATCGATTTATACTTCTCTTTAAGCATCTTTTCTAACAATCAGAAGTTTGTCTCAATATAAACCTAGTTTTTGGGTGCTTTATCTCCTAACTTGTCAACTTCTCCACAATGTACCTATGAGGGTTTACTTGATCTGGTAAAAGTTAAATAGTCCCAAACCCCCTGAGAGACATGAAGCAAATTATGTCTGAAAGTAACTACAATGTCAGACAAAGGTTTAAATAAGCCTCTTATTTAAAAAGACCTTAAAAATAAAGGCATGTTCTGATGCTAACAAAATCAATTACAGCTCATGGTGATATAATTAAACAGGAACAGTCAAATTCAAACTAAAAATGTGGACTAGTGGTCATTCATTGTGTTATAGAAAGAGATCATCATTATGCATGTGGACTTAGTGGTCAAAGACTATGCAATTTAATTTTAATTTAAGCTGGCTCAATAACTCTATCATTTGAGGAAACAGAAATGGGAAATTATAGTAAAGACTGAAATAATAAACAACAGGGTAATTTACATAATAATAACTGTACATATCTTTTGAAGAATAATTTTCTTTCCATTTTAGAATTTTCAGATTTAAATAAGGATTTCTGTTATTCTAAAAAATGCATTTAAAATGCATAAAAAAAGCTACTAATTTTAATTCTTCAGTAATATGAACATTCAGAAAAATATGAAATACGAGGGTTGGAATTTTAATAGTGGCAACACAGCTGAAAAAACGCTATGCAACAAAAAGAATATCGCGTATACCACACGTAAACTACATACCTACCTTACCTCTCAGCAAAAAGACTCGTCCTGCCTACGTCACGCGCATGCGGAGTGACGCGAAGAACGAATCCTTGTATTAGCTCGCGGTCTAAAGTAAGTGTTGTCAGGATGTTTCCAAAACAAGAACAACGATGTTGGATAAAAATTGAATGTGTCAGAGGTCGTACAGCATGACACTGTCATCAAGGGCTTCAAGAGGCTTGTGGGGAATCTGCACTGCCTTATAGAACCGTAGCAAGATGGGTGAAAGCATTCAATGAAGGACACCAAAACGTGGCAGACATGTTGCGGCCAGGTCGTCCGAGTGTCAGCGATGTAGATGTGCAAGCTGTTGCCGCACTAACGGACAGTGATCGCCGCCAAACGATTCGTCAGCTGGCCAGAAAAACAGGATTAGCGCATACGACTGTGCTGCACATTCTGAAGGAACGCCTGTCCATGAGAAAAATTGCTTCACGATGGGTTCCACATCAATCGACGGAAATGCAGAAATGGCTACAATACGATGCTGCCCGAGAACCACCTGGAGCGCTATGAGCACGAAGGAGATGCTTTTTTACGCTGTATCATTATGCTGGATGAGACTTGGGCCCGATTGTACCAGCCAGAACTGATACACCAATCAAACGAATGGCGTCATCACGGGTCACCACGGCGTTCGAAATTTTGTCAGAACCCCAGCAATGTGAAAGTTATGGTGATTCTCATGTACGACTGTGATGGTGTCATCCTAACGCATACCGTTCCCCCAGAGCAGACTGTCACTGCACAGTATTACTGCTCATTTTTGGAGCACAATCCCCGACCAGCTTTGAGGAAAAAAACGGCGACAATTTCTGCAGAACGCTCCTCTCATTTTGCATGACAATGCTCGGCCGCATGCAGCGCAAGCTGTGACTGATTTGTTCAAGCGATGGGGCTGGGAAGTGCTTTACCATCCACCATACTTCCCAGATCTAAGCCCTTCTGACTATGACTTAATTCCTAAGATGAAGGAACCACTTCGTGGCACTC